AATATATATTCTTTTTTTTACATATTTGTAAAAAGAATATGTAAATATTAAAAATATGTAGATATTTAGAAAATATGTGTATGTTTTAATGTAAATATTTTTCTCATATCTTAAAAATGTGTTAATATAAAAAATGCTTGTTTAAAAATATTTCCATGTAATTTGCATGTCGTGTGAATTTTTTAGAATTTAAATATTTTGTTTTTGTTGCTAAACAATATGTAAATAATAAAAATATTTAGATAAAAAAAATTACATGTAATTTTTAAATTATGAAAATGTTTATTAATGTAATGTTTCCTCAAGTTTTTGTTTTTTAAAATATGTAAATATGCAAAATATTTATATTTAAAAATATATATATTTACATGTAATTTTTTACAAATATTTTTATGCAAAGATTTTTTTATGAATTTAAGTTTTTTTACATATAAAAATATGTAAAAATTAAAAATACTTAAAATTTCAAATTAACATTTTTAAAATGCATTTTTAAAAATTGAAATCTTTTTCTCTAGTCATGTTCTCATACATATTTTAAAAATATGTAAATATCAATTATAAGAAAACTCAATAAATATTTAAAATTGTTTGTAGTGCTGTAGAATCGACTGCTTCAGTGAATCTTCCAAAAAACCGAGAGATGAAGTAGCTTACGCTCAGCAGTGTAATGCAGGGAGAAAGTGGTGTTTGGTGGAGGTGAGGCTAATTATTTAGCAGGCAGCCAGAGAACAGCAGGAAGCTCCCGGCAGCCTTTAACCTGGTCTAACAGATGAACTGTCCTGGAGACACGGCTCCTCGCACGATACGAGGACTCGGGAGACTCTGCGCTCTCCCTGTACGACATCCTCTCCTGACGCCAGCAGCTCGTTAAAGAGTTCCCACGTCTCCAAATCCGCCTCTATGCCAAGAAAACCATTTAGAGTGTGGATACATGTGTGTTTGTGTGTGTGCTGCTGTGTATCGTCAGGATCTGTCTATGGGTGAGTCTCATGTATAGGCTAAGATCTCTGCCGCAATTCTGCGTGCGAAAGATCATATTTTGAGCGCACAAAAGTGCATTTTGCACGCGCGCGATCTGAGTTTTGTTGAGATAATGTTCGTTTCGCAAAGAAGAAAGTATTTAGAGCGCATGAAAATCAATTTTGCATTTAAAATAAGTTTTTGGATGTGTGCAGTCTCACTCTTTTGCGCGTGCAATGTTTCACTAGCTTGCTCACCTGTTGCCTGCCCTCAGTGCTCTCTAAATATCGACGGCTGGCTTCCTCAACACAACCCAACCCAACACAATACAGTACAGTGCATGCATAATTATTATGCAAGTTGATATTCTGTTTATATTTTTTTCCAAGCACATTTGACCAATTCCAAACAACATCAGTCTTAATAACTGCTATTAATCTTGTATTTAATCACTTATAATCTATATATTATTGTTCATGAAGGCTGGAAGTGAAAAACGCCTTATATTCAGGTGAGCATAATTATTAAACAGGACTAAAAATGAACTCCCAAAACTTGCGGCCAGATTCCGGAAGATAAATTCTTCAAACAGTGGTACAAGAGGATGTGGTGCTGGTCCTTCAAGAGTCACTCTCAACTTATACTCAGTTCGCGCGTGTGCAAAACACACTTTTGCGCGCTCAAAATATGATCTTTCGCACGCAGAATTGTGGCAGAGATGTAATCCCATACTCATGAAACTTGCCAAGAAAATATACAGGTCATATTTCACCCTGAAATCAAAAGCACGGAATGGAGAAAATACACTTTGCTCAAAGAACAAAACCTGTTTTGTGTCTGTGGTGTCATTGCATTTATCTGAATACGAAATTTTAAATTTTACCTTTTTTTTTTTTTACATATATCAATCAACAATTACCCTCGCACACCTGTAGGTGATTGATAAGTGTGTAGGATAAATGACCACAAACAATTTTCGTTTTTGAATTTTTTTTTTGTATATAAAGTGTGTGTGTGTGTGTGTGTGTGTATAAGAAAACCCTTTCATCCACTGCACTTTTATTTTTTATTTTCATGACACTTTGTTTTTTCTTTCTTTTTTAATTTCATGATGTAAGGTGACCCAGAGCGGTGCGTCGTCTGTTAATGCAGCGATTCACAACATCGGCGCACACGTGCTGCTCCAGATTCATTGGAGTCATGATGAATAGCAGAATCTCTCCCGCGTTTGTATATATTGGCTTCCAAATCTGCGCTTGCTTTTGTTATTACCTTCCCTGTCCTCTGGGAGCATTTTAGAGAAAAATAATTTTGATTATGAAGCTCGCTGCTGAGCCCGTCGTCTGAGAGTTAAAGTGTTTGTGTCTGGTGATGAACAGAGCGCTGTAAGTGGCCACCTTGAGACCGCCTGCGTAATTAGTTGATTTGCGGCGTGATATACGAAACATCGCTGCTTTTGTTTGCATCCCGTGCAGATGAATAAAGCATTGTTACCTGAGGCAGAGGGTGGTTTGCGCTGAGGAATCCCCACTGAAGACGTCTAGATGTGCGTCATGTGTTTATTTAGATCAGACCGTCTTAAACACTAACCAGGGTTTGACGTTGCGGCACGTTTAAAGCCAGTAGTCAGCACACTAGGTGGGTGTATTAGCCTCGACTTCTTGTTTCCACTCAAACCTGCACATGACCGGTGCGAACACAGGATCAAACGTTGTCTTATGTAAGCGTTGTTGGCAAAAACATGGATTGGAGCGCTGCCTTCCAGTTCCTCTGCGTTCGGCCTTCTGTAAAAGCTTTTCTTGAACTCTGTTTCGAAATTGCTTCTGCCGTCTTCTTTCTCCACATCCTACAAGCGAAGGCTTTTCTCAAGTGATTGAATATATTTAGCATTGTGGAAAGGCGTATAGGTGGACACTGCTGGGTCAGCACTTTGGGAAAGGAAGTGAAACTTGAACATTCATCCCTTTTCTCTCGTACCAATAGTGGGCTGCTCCCACCGCTAACAGGATATGTGCTGTTTAAGGGTTAGGAGGCTTTCTTACCCTTTAAGCAAGAGCTCATTTGGATGTGAGGCACAGACTCCATTAAATAGAAGTAGTTTATGATATTATTTTAATGCAGGTTGGTGGTTTTGATGTCTATGTGTATTAGGGTAGCAAGAATAGACTAGGATTGTCTCAATAACAAAATAGTAGTAGTCAATGCAAAACTAATATTGAACACTCCTTTATGTAAAAGTTTAAAAAAAAAATTAAATATATGTTATTTATATTATTTACATTTTCAAATTCTGATTTTTGAAATGTTTATGAATTCATTTTTGTCAGTGGGAATTATTTTTTAAATTTTATTTTTTAAATTAATTTTATTTTTTATTTTATTATGTTTTTAATTCATATCTTAAAATTATTTATTTTATTATTTTTATTTTTTTCTTGTTATAAATATTTATATTTATATTTTATATATATTATATTTTATTTATTTATTTATTTTTAAAAAGTATTTCTTGATCTTATTTTATTTATAATTCGTATTTTTATTTTTAAAAGTATTTTATTTGGTTTTTAAGTTAATTTTAGAAGTACTTTTTATTTAATTTCATTTTTATACATTGTTAATTAATTAATTTTTAAATTAGATTTTTTTGTAACAATTATAATCAGTGGGATGAATGAAAACAGTATTTATTATTAATATATTTTATTTCTATTTAGTTATTTTTTCAATTAATTGTATATAATTGTGGTGTTTATTAATTTATTTTTGGACAATCTACTTGGCAAGCAGTAGGACAAATGAAAACAATAGAACAAAGGCACAAATTAAGTACTTAAGTGCTTAAATATTGGAAGCAGCCCGAGCAGGAAGTGAAGTCGGCTGTAGACGGGCACATTTGAACTCCCTGGCCGTGAGGCGGCTGAGACGCGCTCATTAATGTCTGCTTTACTTTCTAGTAAATGTACGATTCTCCGCCTCTTTTGGATAGACACTTCAAATAATATTCTAATGAGCATCTGTATTATTCAGTCCTGCTTTTGTAGAGGCACACGCCAGTCACCGAGCAGCTCCGCCCACTTCGCCCTCCCCAACACACACACACACACACACACATCTGTTCACCACTCATAGACTGAAACTTCCTCATCCTCTCTCACGCTTTACATTGTATCAGACTGTATCCATTTTCACTTTATCTTAACATTTAATATTGAATGGTTGCTAAGGTGTTCCGATTGGTTGCTAGGTGGCTGGTTATGCAGCCAGACTCGTAGATAGGTGGATTTTATTTTTTTAGATTATGAATTTTGAAAATGTCATGAATTCATTTGTGTCAGTGGGATTTATTTATTTGTTTTTTTTTAGT